CACCACCACGTTATCAATAGCGCATACCACGTACCACTCGTCACGCTTCCGTGGCAGTACACGAAATACCGGGGGAACCGCCGAGCACACATCACCGACCGCTTTGAAAGGCACAAACAGGCGACTCGCATGACGCTCCATCCCTCCAACTGAAATAATAATTGGCCAACGCATGGGCTGCCTGTGCGAAAATGCGTTTTTTGCATAGCCCCCCGCAGATTTCTGCCGCTAACAGCACTGGTTTTTCCGGCAGATGCTTCTAGCTAAAAGAATTTCAGACTGGCCGCCAGAACTGTCAAGAAACATCCCTTCAAAATTCCAGTCTTCCAGTTTCTCACGTTCTCGAGTTAGCAACTTACGCGGAAGAAACTTTCACAGGCCCGTACGTAGGTACCACGCTTACCCGCGGGCAGGGTTTGAACTCGTTAATACCCACTTGGACAGGGAACATCCCCCTAAGATTTCAGCGCTCTAACTTCTCAGATCCCCGAGTTATGAACTTATCCGAAAGAAGTTTTGGCGGGCCCGTACGCAGGTACCACGCCGGTGATGGCGCCCATTCTGGGGATTAGGGCCAGCACGTGCATGTAGTTTAAGTTCCCGAAATTTCAGCCCTGCAGCTTTCACAGGTCTTTAGATGAAAGTGTGTGACAGACGCACACACAGACAACCCCTCGTCAATATGCGTTTTTGCATTGCATAGCTGCAAAAAACGCATAATAAAACTGTTCCGGTTGGGGGAGAAGAGGAAATGAGGTACATTGGACAATCGGAGTGAAAGGCTAAGGCAAATTCCCCTCACCGATGAAAATTGCAGTCTCCAGAAGGCCGAACCGTAATTTTAAAAGAAATGGACGGTCCAAAGAAATCAAAATGTGGGACGGCCGGAGACAGGGAAGAAAACAACGGGATCGTTAAAACCAACGAAACAAAAGTTGAGTTTATCCTGGACGGCCACCGTCCAACCCCTGCTCATTCCTATTACATGCGGGGTTGGTGTGACCCTTGCCGGTCGACACCCTTCGCTGAATGGGCCGCTGTTCCTGGCCTTGGCAACTACCCTCTTCCACTTCCTCACAGGGCCTTTGAAGCCCGTACTACCTTTTACTTTACCCCACTCTAGCACAAAATTTGGGAAAAAGGTGGAGTACTTAGAACAATAAGATCACTGGAAGGCCGAGCCGTAACCTCGCAAAGTCCACGGTCCAAAGAAATCAAAATGTGGAACGGTCGAAGTTGAGAAGGGAAAGAAGGGCCGTTAAAATCAAGCAAACAGGAGTTGAAGATTTTTCTCACATTAGGAAAAAATTTGAGAAAAAACGTGGAGTATCTAAAACAGTGAGACGAAAAGTACTGCATCTACGCTCAGGTTCTCCTCATCTTTTTTTTCTGCAGCTGGCAACTTTCCCAGTTGCTTTGATTACTGTTCCACGACGATCCTAACGGTGGTCAACTGCTGACGAATGGTGTTTATCCCGCCTCATAAAGGGTGCATGGATGTCCCTCATCACCACATAAGCATCGAGTTATTTCAAAATGACCTTTGCGGGTGTTCAGCATAACCACCTTGTACTGAACAAGGTCACTTCTACAGCCAGTTATCAAAACCTGGCCCGGCCCAAGGGTTTGCCAAGCAAAGAGGGGTAGGAGAAAGGAGGGTAGGATTGTGCTGACTGGGAGGAGGGGGAAGCACGGAGGAAGTAGGGGTGGATGAGAGGAGGTCCAACTGTGGTAACGGTAAGAAATGTATACGACTTTATGGACCGAAACATTTCTTACCGAATTTATTCTTTTTTACATCTTTCCCTTTTTTTTACTCTTTTTTGACCTTTTCTATCATACATTGCTACATTTTCCAACAAAATTTCCACTTGACCTTAAAAAAAGAGAGGAAGAATGGTGGGACGGGGTACTAAGTATCAGGATCCAAGACGGAGGGGAGGGAGGAGGGGAGGGTGGGAGGACTGGTTGGGAAAAAGCAAAGACTTTGCTAGGAAACACAGGAGTGATTATGAAGGGAAGGAAGTTATGTGGGTTTATGATGCTAAGCAAGAAACTAGATGGCCGGAGGGAACTAGTAAGCTCCTGCCCCCACTCAAAATCTTGCAGGAATGGAAAATCCTGTGCTTGTGCTATCATTATACTTTTCTCAACTCTAACCTAAACTCACAAACAAATGCATTTTGCGCGTCGAGCCGAAGCCAATTTTAATAACTGAGATTGCGCGAGGAACCGAGACAAGAGGAAGGAGTCGGGTGGGTGGATACGTTGGCAGTTGCGTATGCTACACAAGGGAGAGGGGAGGAAGCTAATGGCTGGAGAGGAGGGAAGCAAGAAAAAAGTAAAGGCAAGAAAAGCAAATGAAAAATCGCCATTAGTAGAGTAGGGCACTTCCCCATCTATAAATCTGATGCTTAGGTAAAGCTGAAAGCGAATAAGGCGAAACCGATGTTTAAGTAAGACTGAAAGCAAATAACATGAAAGCTGGGAGCTCTCAGTTTTACGTAACCATCAGCTTCATAAACAGCTTCATAAATAAGCTTCTCCTCTATCTTGTCCCCAAACCTGCCTGCAGAGCAAACCCTATCATCACTGACCGTTCCCTACTTCTCACTAGCCCCCTTATTCCTCTCACCTATCTTGCCTTAATCCATGCCCCTTGAGCTATATCCGGTCACCCACCAAGCAACTCCCCACCACTCACGTACAACCGCCCAGCGTACGCGACCTAATAGCCGAACGCCGGGTATCGCTACTCCGCACATGTGGCAAACTGCTAAAGGGTGTCGAACGAGACACGCCGCGAAATAGCGTTAGCAGTGATGCAGAATAACAGCCTGACCGTTTAGTGATTGCTCCATCCGGCCGAGGTAGGAGCTAAAACTGGGCTCGGCGGGTTCCATGCACAATATGCGGACGAATATGCAGACAAAATTTCAGCCACTGTTTTTCAGCTAGTTTTCGAGTTAGCACAGTGCCAAGTGCAAACTTTGAAAAGATAGTATAGCAAAATGTTTTGTCACCGTTGGTAAATTTTTCCGCGCTTTTAGAGCCCTCGATAACGCACTGGTGTCTTCGGGACATCTCCAGAATATTGTTGGGTCTGATCCTTCGCAGGGCTATTATTGTGTTAAATTTAATTGTTAACTCTGCTCTTACATAGACAGTTGCGTTGCATGGCCTGTTTTTCGAGAATAATTGCGATTAACAGATTTTGGAGGTGTTCACTAAACTATGTTCCGTAGCATTCCTTCTGGGCTTAATTCACACATATTTTGGATGAGGATTGGTAGGCTTAGACGGACTGCAAACTTTTGTGATCTTTTAGAACATGTAATTTTCAAACAACCTTACTAGATATTCCACGAATAAATGCAAATTAGGGAAGTAAATTGGAATCCTCAGGATTCGAACTTGTAGTATATATTGAAATTAATAATTTGTCCAGGTTTAAGACGTCCATTAAGCTGTAATTTGTCCATCAAACTGTATGCGTCTTAACTCGGCGTTACAACTGGATCTCGTCAGTACACCAATTGTGGAATAAATTATTATTAAATAACAAACATAGGAAGTCAAAGATTACTGTTTCGCTACTTTACAAAGACATGCGAGAGCCAACAATCCCCCTCTCCTTGTCCACTCCTTATTTCGCTCTCGGAAAGTAGCCCGAACGGTAGCAAATGTCAATAGCAATCACTCGCTGGCAAAGCTTTCGATGGCTCTTTTTTCTGAGGGTTGCTTACAAACAAACTGATGACGAGTTAGCTACATTAGACATTTTTATTTTAAAATTTTGCATTCGTGCATTGTCAGAGGAAAAGCCGGTGTGAGCAGTGGATTAATTAGCTGATAGCTGCAAGCAGCATCCAATAGAGAGAGACAACTTTTTATTGCAAACAGACACAAACACAATTGCTTTATTACTAATTTGCCCTAAGTATAAATAAGATAACGAATATTAGTACGGTAATTTGTCGACCGAGTGCTTGGTGCTACTGCCGCTGTTGTTATCAGAAGCTTATCCAATTCTGCTTGACCAGGTTGTTCCGGAATTATTCTGGTTGGATACGCTCGAAGCGCTAGCGACACTGGATGGTGGATTTCTGTAACGAAGTGATTCTAGCTGTGACGGACGGTTCAGCAAGTGACCGTACATGGCGGCAGCAAGAAATTCTGGAACGGTAAATTGGATAGACGAATTATGAGGCGTGGGTGCGTATTGGTAATGAAGTGGTTGAGTGTATGGATTATAAATTATGGGTGTGCGCTCGTATGGAAGGGGTAAATTTTGAAATTGTAGTTTATGACCGTACGGAGGAAGTTGTATGAACGGGCTGTGAAGCCTAGGTACATATCCGTAAAGAAGTGGTTGAATGTATGGATTACAAATTATGGGTGAGTACGGGAGGGGTAAATTTTGAAGTTGTGGTTTGTGACCGTACGGAGGAAGTTGTATGAACGGGCTGTGAGGCGTGGGTACATATCCGTAAGGAGGTGGTTGAGTGTATGGATTATAAAATACTGGTGCATGCTCGTTTGAAAGGGGTGGATTTTGAG